AAGAAATAGTAATGAGATATACAGTAGTACGTAAAAATTTCCACTTTCATTGCAGGTTACGGTCACAGTACTCCATTAACAACAGGTGGCAAATTGTTTTGTATGTTTTATGCCCTTGCAGGGATTCCACTAGGGCTAGTCATGTTCCAAAGCATTGGTAAGTAATTGTATTTAATGCTAAGAGTCCTAAATATACTGCTTCCATTTTCCAAGGATATACCTTGTTTAGGTGAACGGATGAACACGTTTGCCGCAAGATTATTACGGTTCGCTAAAAAGGTATGCAATAATCGTGATCTTCAAAATGTTTTCTATTTGATCGAAAAGCTGATTTGATGTTGTCGAACTCCTTTTTTTTGGTTTTTCCATGTATTTTTTTTCTTGGTTTTATAAACAAAGAGCTTAACACATCTTTTTGAAGGAATAAGTAGAAATACATTACAAAAGGCTACAAAATTTAAATGTCATAAATTCAAAGCCTAAATTACATATCAACTGTTGCACCCCCTCCTTCACCTAACATATTATCTCATTTATTTTAGTGTTTCTTACTCCACCATCATTGTTTTTCTAAATCCTATGCAACTAGTTTTTCTTCGTTAGCAACCTGTGTCCAGAAATTGTTAATTAATTCTGTTTCAGGCCTCTGGTAGGGCTCCCGTTGTCAATCATATAGACCTAATTTTTGTGGCCTTTGGGCTTGGCACCTTTCTAATGGCATTTGGTGCGCTGGCATTTTCGAGATACGAAAATTGGACGTATTTCGATTCGCTTTATTACTGTTTCACTACTCTTACAACTATAGGTTTGCAAAAACTTTCAATTTCCAATCCCTTGCATGGCTACATGTTCCAGGATTTGGTGACTTTGTGGCGCTTCAAAAAGGAGGAGCACTTCAGAATCAACCGGATTATGTTGTCTTTTCATTAGTATTCATTTTATTCGGTTTGACGGTAATTTCTGCCGCTATGAATCTTCTAGTCTTACGGTTCCTAACAATGAACACCGAAGATGAACGGAGAGATGAGCAGTAAGTGTTTAACAAAATCAGATTTTACTAAAAACTATAGAGGCAGTGATAAATCGAGACAATGATTTTTCAAAAGAATAAAATATGGAGAAACGTTTATAGCAACTTTGTAGATTTTCTCCA